CAGGAGACCCCAGACGTCCAAGGACGCCCCCAAGAGGCTCCAAGAAGCCTCCAACATGTGTCCCAAGAGGGCCCCTAGACGCAAGAATTGGCCCATTCCCTTCGTAAAACGTACATTTTTAACAAAGTCGCCTTTTGGGCTTTCCGACGTTACAGGACGGCCCAAGAGGCGCCCAAGACCGCCCCAAGACGGCCCAAGAAGCTTCCCAGAGGGCCCCAGGACAGCCCAAGAGGGCCCCAAGACGGCCCAAGAGGCGCCCAAGATGGCCCAAGAGGGCCCCAAGACGGGCCCAAGAGGGGGCCCAGAGGGGGACCACGAACCGCAAGCTCGAGCCTTCCGCCCCAAGAGGCCGCCAGGAGGCCCCCAGGAGGCCCCTCAAGAGGCCCCAGGAGACCCCAGACGTCCAAGGACGCCCCCAAGAGGCCCCAAGAAGCCTCCAACATGCGTCCCAAGAGGGCCCCTAGACGCAAAAATTGGCCCATTCCCTTCGTAAAACGTACATTTTCAACAAAGTTGCCTTTTGGGCTTTCCGACGTTACAGGACGGCCCAAGAGGCGCCCAAGACCGCCCCAAGACGGCCCAAGAAGCTTCCAAGAGGGCCCCAGGACAGCCCAAGAGGGCCCCAAGACGGCCCAAGAGGCGCCCAAGATGGCCCAAGAGGGCCCCAAGACGGGCCCAAGAGGGGGCCCAGAGGGGGACCACGAACCGCAAGCTCGAGCCTTCCGCCCCAAGAGGCCGCCAGGAGGCCCCAAGGAGGCCCCTCAAGAGGCCCCAGGAGACCCCAGACGTCCAAGGACGCCCCCAAGACGCTTCGCGTCACCAATTTCTTCTCGCAACGATTCCTGGGTCTGTGACTCGACAGAACCTAAGCGCGCGCGAAGCGCGCGCGTGGTTCTAGTATATATATATATATATATATATATATATATATATATGCAGTACGGGCCAGGGTGGACCCCAGGAGGAAGTCCGGGATCCGGGGAAGGATCCTGAGCGGCTTCGAGCCCGGCGGAAGAGCAACCCTTGTCTCAATTTTGCGACGCAGAATTCACGGGGCCTGCTGCGCCCACATCGGCGCGCAAGCTGCCCGCGTAAATGAGGCCGCGCGCGAGCGCCCTCGCTTCCAATGCAGGGTGCCGAGCTGGCGGCCCGCGCAAGCCGCGGCGGGAGGTCGCTGTGCCATCTCGCGCGGGACCCGTTTCTTCTCGTCGCTCATTCTTGGCGCTCCTCCGACAGGGAGAGGGAGGGGCACGGCCCTAGGCTTGAGACGTCTCAGTCTTTTGGGCGCCGCGCGCACGGGGGTGGCGCAGAGGCGGCCCGCGCAAGCCGCAACGTAAGGTCGCCGTGCCGTCTCGCGTAAAGCCCGTTTCTTCTCGTCGCTCAGGTGGCCTCTCGAAAGCCCCTGCGGCTTCTAAGAAGCCATCTTGGAAGCCTCCAGGCCCTTCTAGGAAGGCTCGTGCCTTCCAAGGAGCCCCACTCCTTATTTGGCCGTCCCCCTTTCGCGTCATCCCCTTGTGCGCGCCGCCAACGATACTCGATGTTGGATCTCATCCATCGCTCTTTTGCTGCTTCTCGCCCAGGCGGCCCGTTCAGGCAGGAGGAAGGGGGGCCGCTAATTGCCTGAGGCGTTCCTGAAAGGGCCTCGCCCTCGAGGATTGAAGGGATTGCCATCTCTTTCTCGGCGGAAGGCGGCGGAAAAAGCGGCGTAACCTCACGGAAGTAAGACGAGGCCGCCTCCGCCAGCGGAAGTTGGCGGAAGGCAGGCGGAGCTGGCCGAAGTAAAATATGCGCCCCAAGCGATAGCAGCATGTTCAGATTCAAAGTTGCCGGAACCGGCAACCTGGAGGGGCGAGTAGAAGATCAGTGGAGTCGAGTGTGGTGATGGTGTGTACTGTTCCTTCTTGGGCAGTTTTGCGGGGCATCATCCTGGAAGTCTGCATCCTAGGCACCAAAGCTGATGGCTTGACCGTAGAATGGACAGAGGATATTATCATCAGACCTACCGGTGTGATCTCGCACTGCTTTATTTCGACCGTGCGCTCGTAATGCGGCCGTGCTGGTGGTTGTGCTGGTGGTCCTGCTGGTGGTCGTGCTGGTGGTTGTGCTGGTGGTTGTGCTGGTGGTCGTGCTGGTGGTTGTGCTCGTTGTCGTGCTGGTGGTTAGCGATGCTGGCTGGTCGTGCTGGTGGTCGTGGTTGGTGGAGGTGCTGGTGGTCGTGCTGCTGGTCGTGCTGCTGGCCGTTCTGGTGGAGGTGCTGGTTGTCGTGCTGGTGGTCGTGCTGGTGGTTGTGCTGGTGGTTGTGCTGGTGGTTGTGCTGGTGGCTGGTCGTGCTGGCGCTCGTGCTGGTGGTTGTGCTGGTGGTCGTGCTGGTGGTTGGTGATGCTGGCTGTCGTGCTGTTGGCTGGGCTGCTGGTCTCCCTCGTGCTGGTGGTTGTGCTGGTTGTTGTGTTGATGGTCGTGCTGGTTGTTGTGCTGGTGGCTGGTCGTGCTGATGGAGGTGCTGGTGGTCGTGCTGGTGGTCGTGCTGGTGGTCGTGCTGGTGGTCGTGCTGGTGGTTGTGCTGGTGGTCGTGCTTGTGGTTGTGCTGGTGGTCGTGCTGGTGGTTGGTAGTACTGGTCGTGCTGGTGGTCGTGGTTGGTGGTCGTGCTGGTTATTGTGCTGGTGGTCGTGCTGGTGGCTGGTCGTGCTGGTGTTCACGCTGGTGGTCGTGCTGGCCCCCCGCTCCTTCCCTGCGCCCCCCTCCCCTTGCACCCGTGCTCCCCCCACCCTGGGCCTCCGCGCCCCCTCCGCCGTGCTGCCCCCGCCCTCCCTGGGCCCTCCCCTTATTATTCCGACCGTGCGCCCCCTCCCCTCCCCCGCTCCTCCCCTGCGCGCCTCTCCTGCTCCCGTGCTCCCCCCACCCTCCCCGGGCCCCCGCGCCCTCTCTCCCGTGCTGACCCTGCGTTCCCCGAGCCCCCCTGCTTATTCCGACCGTGCGCCCCCCCTGCCTGCCCCCCCCTTGCGCTCCCCTCCCCTTGCCCCTGTGCCCCCCCCACCCTCCCCGAGCCCCCGCGCCCTGTCCCCCGTGCTCCCCCCGCGCTCCCCGGGCCTCCCTTCCTTTCCTCCGACCGTGCGCCCCCCCACCGCTCGTCCCCTGCGCTCCTCCCCTCTCCTTGCCCCCGTGCTCTTCCTACGCTCCCCGGGCCCCCGCGCCTCCTCCTCGTGCTCCGACCGTGGCGCCCCCCCCTCCCCCCCCGCTCCTCCCCCCGCTCCTCCCCTCCTCTTCCTCTGCCCCTGTCCCCCCCCGCCCTCCCCGCGCCCCCGCGCCCACCCTCCCCCGTGCTCCCCCGCCTTCCCGGGCCTTCCCCTTATTCCGACCGTGCGCCTTCCCCTCTGCCCCCCCCATGCCCCCCCCTCCCCTTTGCCCCGGTGCTCCCTCCACCCTCCCCGGGCCCCCCCGCCTTGTCCCCCGTGCTCTCACCCTTTCCCTGGGCCCCCCCCCTCCGTTTATTCCGACCGTGCGCCCTCCCTCCCCGCTCATCCCTTGCGCCCCTCTCCCCTTGCCCTGGTGCTCCCCCCACCCTCCCTGGGCACCCGCGCCAGCCTCCGTGCCCCCCCCGCGCTCCCCGGGCCCGCCTCTCCTTATTTCGACCGTGCGCCCCCCTTCCCCGCTCCTCCCCTGCGCCGCCCCGCTGTGCCCCCGTGCTCTCCCCATTCTCCCCGGGCCCCCGCGCCCCCATCTTCGTGCTCCCCCGCCCTCCCCCGGCCCCCCTCCTTATTGGAGAGGCCTGACGGCCGGTGCCGCCGACCCTGATCGAAAGGGCTAGGTTCGGGGGGAGGAAGCGGAGGATGAGGAGGAGGAGGAGGAGGAGGAGAAGGAGGAGCAGCAGCAGCAGGAGGAGGAGGAGGAAAAGGAGGAGGAGGAGGAGGAGGAGGAGGAGGAGGAGGAGGAAGTGCATTCTTTGTGCGCCCGTTTGAAGGAAGTGAGATTCTGACTTGGGACGTGCTCCCGGAAGTGGAACCCTCCCCCGGCCCCCCTCCTCTTATTTCGACCGTGCGCGCCCCCGCCTGCGCTCCCCTGTCCTTGCGCCCGCGTGTTCCCCCCACCCCGGGCCCCCGCGCCCCCTCCCCGGTGCTTTCCCCGCCGCCCCCGGGCCCGCCTCTTCTTATTCCGACCGTGCCCCCCCCTGCGCCCCTCTGCCCTTGCCCCCGGACCCCGCCCTCCCCGCGCCCCCGCGCCCCCCTCCCTGAATGCTCCCCCGCCGTCCCCGGGCCCTCCTCCTGTTATTCCGACCGTGCGCCACCTCCCCGCTCCCCCCCCGCGCCCCCCTCCCCTTGCCCCCGTCCTCCCCCGACCCTCTGCGGGCCCCCGCGCTCCCTCCCCCGCGCCCCGCCCCACCTCCCTGGGCGCCCCTCCCCTTATTCCGACCGTGCGCCCCCCCTCCCCCGCTCGTCCCTTGCGCCCCTCTCCCCTTGCCGCCGTGCTCCCTCCGCCCTCCCCGGGCTCCCGCACCTCTCCCCCGTGCCCCCCCTCCGCTTTTCCCCGCCCCGCCCCCCCCTCCCTTATTCCGACCGTGCGCCCCCCTCCCCGCTCATCCCCTGCGCCCCTCTCCCCTTGCCGCCGTGCTCCCTCCGCCCTCCCCGGGCTCCCGCACCTCCTCCCCCGCGCTCCCCCCGCCTTCCCAGGGCACCCTGCCCCGCGCGCGCGAATTACACATCTTCTGAAGCCGTTACCAGAGATTTTAGCACACCCTGACCTCTGCAAGCGCCGAGGGGGATTCTGCCGAGGGAGAGGGCTACCCGCGCGCTTCTTTCCGTAGCCGTGTTGGCTCCACCATGCCGCCCTCCTCCCTCGCCATCCCTGGTTTTCTCCATCTCCCATGGACCACATCGTCATTGTATGATCCTTGGCACGCGTGCCCCTTGTATTTGCATGGTTGTGCCATCTTCTGGCTTCACGTGCGTCTAGCACCCTGGTGATCGCCAATATTTGAAGATAAGTTCTGGAGCTTCGATGCGGCATGACTTTGCTCCGATACCTGCGTCATGGACTCCTGTACCCCCTGACGTGGCGACGCTGTTTGTTTTGTGATTGCTGCTTGTTTCTCACTGCCAGGCTGCTGGCACGGGGTTGTAAGACCCTTGACGCGCACGGCGCCCTGCGCGAGTACGCCGAGTTGTGCGGGTTCTCCGGCAGCGACGACGACTGGAACGGCCAGCTGGAGGCCCCTACCGACGACGACGATCCCCGCGGCCGTCGGCAGCGGCGGCCAGCTTTTTCTCTGTAGTGCCCTGGGCGTCCGGAAGCTTGCTTCTCGACGAAGATTATCCCGGCAAAGCAACCTAACAACGATGTGTAGAAGCATATCTGAAAGCACTCTCCTTAAGATTCGGATGAGAATCCAGTTGTAGAATTCTGCTGTTCTCGCAGTCGTAGTCGCATTCGCGATGACAGTCGCAGCGGCAACGGCAGTCGCAGTCACAGCCTCAGCCTCAGCCTGCCTCAGCCTCAGCCTTCAGCCTGCCTCAGCCTCAGCCTGCATCAGCCTCAGCCTCAGCCTCAGCCTGCCTCAGCATCAGCCTGCTTCAGCCTCAGCCTCAGCCTGCCTCAGCCTCAGCCTCAGTCTGCTTCAGCCTCAGCCTCAGTCTGCCTTCAGCCTCGGCCTCAGCCTCAGCCTGCCTCAGCCTCAGCCTGCCTCGGCCGCAGCATCAGCCTGCCTCAGCATTCAAAATGTGGCCCAGGAATGGAGTTCTGGGAACTAGAAGAACACGAAGTGGCCTACAGTTGGCTCCGGGCATTCAAAATCATGCCCAGGAATGGAGTTCTGGGAACTTGAAGAGCACGAAGTGGCCTACAGTTGGCTCCGGGCATCCAAAATGTGGCCCGGGAATGGAGTTCTGGGAAATCGAAGAGCACGAAGTGGCCTACAGTTGGCTCCGGGCATCCAAAATGTGGCCCGGGAGTGGAGTTCTGGGAAGTCGAAGAGCACGAAGTGGCCTACAGTTGGCTCCGGGCATCCAAGATGTGGCCCGGGAATGGAGTTCTGGGAGCACCAAGAGCGATTTTGCGAGGATGTCCGAAGCGATTTCGGCTTCGGCGGCAGCCTCCCGGGTCACGCCCAGACCCCCCTGAGGAGTCATGATGCTCTCTTTTGAGACCACTAGAAACCTATCAGCAAGAGCTGTTAGGCAAATTATCCCGGCAAAGCAACCTAACAGCGATGTGTAGGAGCATATCTGGAAGCATTCCCCTTAAGATTCGGATGATAATCCAGTTGTAGAATTATGCTGTTCTCGCAGTCGTAGTCGCATTCGCGATGACAGTCGCAGTGGCAACGGCAGTCGCAGTCACAGCCTCAGCCTCAGCCTGCCTCAGCCTCAGCCTCAGCCTGCCTCAGCCTCAGCCTCAGCCTGCCTCAGCCTCAGCCTCAGCCTGCTTCAGCCTCAGCCTCAGTCTGCCTTCAGCCTCGGCCTCAGCCTCAGCCTGCCTCAGCCTCAGCCTGCTCAGCCTCAGCCTCAGCCTCAGCCTGCCTCAGCATCAGCCTGCCTCAGCCTCAGCCTCAGCCTGCCTCAGCATCAGCCTCTCAGCCTCAGCCTCAGCCTCAGCCTCAGCCTGCCTCAGCCTCAGCCTCAGCCTGCTTCAGCCTCAGCCTCAGTCTGCCTTCAGCCTCGGCCTCAGCCTCAGCCTGCCTCAGCCTCAGCCTCAGCCTCAGCCTCAGCCTCAGCCTCAGCCTGCCTCAGCTCAGCCTGCCTCAGCCTCAGCCTCAGCCTCAGCCTCAGCCTGCCTCAGCCTCAGCCTCAGCCTTGCCTCAGCCTCAGCCTCAGCCTCAGCCTGCCTCAGCCTCAGCCTCAGCCTGCTTCAGCCTCAGCCTCAGTCTGCCTTCAGCCTCGGCCTCAGCCTGCCTGCCTCAGCCTCGCCTGCAGCTCAGCCTCAGCCTCAGCCTGCCTCAGCCTCAGCCTCAGCCTCAGCCTCAGCCTCACCTGCCTCTGCCTCAGCCTCAGTCAACCTCAGCCTCAGTGCCTGCCTTCAGCCTCGCCTCAGCCTCAGCCTGCCTCAGCCTCAGCCTCAGCACAGCCTCAGCCTCAGCCTCAGCCTCAGCCTCAGCCTCAGCCTCAGCCTGCCTCAGCCTCAGCCTGCCTCAGCCTCAGCCTCAGCCTCAGCCTCAGCCTCAGCCTGTCTCAGCATTCAAAATGTGGCCCGGGAATGGAATTCTGGGAACTCGAAGAACACGAAGTGGCCTACAGTTGGCTCCGGGCATTCAAAATCATGCCCAGGAGTGGAGTTCTGGGAACTCGAAGGCTTCGAAGTGGCCTACAGTTGGCTCCGGGCATTCAAAATGTGGCCCGGGAATGGAGTTCCGAACTCGAAGATTTTAAAGTGGCTTACAGTTGGCTCGGGCATCCAAAATGTGGCCCGGGAGTGGAGTTCTGGGAAGTCGAAGAGCACGAAGTGGCCTACAGTTGGCTCCGGGCATCCAAAATGTGGCCCGGGAATGGAGTTCTGGGAAGTCGAAGAGCACGAAGTGGCATACAGTTGGCTCCGGTTCTTCAAAATGTGGCCCGGGAATGGAGTTCTGGGAGGTCGAAGAGCACGAAGTGTGTGACTGTTGGCTTAAAACGAGCCCGGCTCTGTTCCCGGCCCTCCTCCCCGGCACCCGCCCAGACCCCCCTGTGGAGTCCAGATGCTCTCTTTTGACACCACTAGAAACCTATCAGCAAAAGCTGTTAGGTAAAAAAGGCCATAAACATAATGTTTGGCGCTCTGCGCGGATTTGTTGGATCCGGGCTGGGCCCCCCTGACGGCGCCTCCGGCGCCGCCCCTGGCGCGCTCCGCGCGCCAGGGAGGGAGGACCAGCGCAGATCCGAGACATCCGCGCGGAGCGCCAAGAGTTTATGTTTGTGTTTTTTTTCTAGCTTCGGACCAAGGGAGTGTCAAAAAAAACTGACAAGCCTTAAGTCGGGCCTGTCCCTCTACAGGGGGTATATGCAAAAATTGCGAAAAATAGTCGGGGCGATGTTTGAAACTATTTGTGGGTATTTGTGCGAATTTCTAATTTTTCGCCCCAAATCCGCCTGTAGGGGGGCATGCCCGACCTAACCCTAGCCTGGGCATTTTCGTGGGCACGCCCGCATGCCGCATGCGGAGCCCGCATCGTCGTGGACCTCGCTCGCCAGGGGAACCCCGGCAGAGCCCCCTGTGAGGGCCTGGCGCTCGCACGCGCAGCGTCTTTGCCGCTCCCCTCCTCGGCGTCCTCCTCGTTACGTCAGTTCGACCTCCCCCAGGCCTTGGCATTGGAGGGTTTCTCCAAAGGGCTCAGGCGACCCGTCCTCCTCCTCATCCTCCTCCTCCTCCTCCCTCCCTCCCTCCCTCCCTCCTCCTCCTCATCCTCCTCCTCCTCCTCCTCCTCCTCCCTCCTCCCTCCTCCTCCCTCCCTTCCTCCTCCTCCTCCTCCTCTCCTCTCCTCCTCCTCCTCCTCCTCCTCCTCCTCCTCCTCCTCCTCCTCCTCCTCCTCCTCCTCCTCCTCCTCCTCCTCCTCCTCCTCCTCCCTCCCTCCCTCCCTCCCTCCCTCCCTCCTCCTCCTCCTTCCTCCTCCTCCTCCTCCTCCTCCCTCTCCCCTCCTCCCTCCTCCTCTCCTCCTCCTCCTCCCCCTTCTCCTCCTCCTCCTACTCCTCCTCCTCCCTCCCTCCCTCCCTCCCTCCCTCCCTCCCTCCCTCCCTTCCCTCCCTCCCTTCCTGCTCCCTCCTCCCTCCTCCCTCCTCCCTCCTCCCTCCTCCCTCCTCCTTCCTCCCTCCTTCCTCCTCCTCCTCCTCCTCCTCCTCCCCCTTCTCCTCCTCCTCCTCCTCCTCCTCCTCCTCCTCCTCCTCCTCCTCCTCCTCCTCCCTCCTCCTCCTCCTCCTCCCTCCTCCCTCCCTCCCTCCCCCTCCCTCCCTTCCTCCCTCCTCCCTCCTCCTCCCTCCTCCCTCCTCATTCCTCCCTCCTCCTCCTCCTCCTCCTCCTCCCCCTTCTCCCTCTCCTCCTCCTCCTCCTCCTCCTCCTCCTTCTCCCTCTCCTCCTCCTCCTCGCCCTTCCCTCCTCGGGTCGCCTACGGCCCCGGGGGAAACCGTCCACTTAGCATTGCTTGGCTCTCCTCCTTTCTCTTTGAGTGTATGTTATGCTGCTGGCCGCTTGGGATGCTGTGCCAACGCCAGGGTTGAATGTCGCCAGGAGCCAAGATTTGGCCGTCATCGAGCGATTCGTGTTATTGGAAAGTTGTTGCCGCTCAAGTCCTCAAGTCCAGGTCGAGCGACCCACGCGGTGTCTGAAACCAGCGGCGACGTCGTCACTGCACGAGCCTGCCGTATTCGGGCGGGGCCAGGACGGGGATAAATCGTTCCAGAGCGTTCCAGGACGCTCTCAGAGTGTTCTGGATCGCTCTGCAACTGCCGCGGCGCCCGTTACACCCTCAATAATCACAGGATCTCAGAGATCCCCGATTTTACCCCAGTCCGACTCTGTCCCGGTTCTGGCCTGGTCTTGCGTGCCTCCCCTGAGCGAGGAGATGTCCTCCCACTACGGGTGGGACTCCAGCACGGGGGTGGACTTGGCGCTCTTCGAGCGGATGCTGAACGACCCCGAGGGGCACGCGTGGCAGGATGACGACGGCCTGCGGGAGGCTGCTGCCCCTTGGGTTGCCCTGGAGCCCCTCTCTCTCGGCGAAACACAGGAGCGACCCTCTGCCAGAGTGAGCAAAGCGGCGGGCTCGCCTCGGCTACGCGTGGCCTGCCCCGGCTTGTTCAGACGTCTTCGTCGCTTATCCTGGAAGTGGTCCTGACTCGTGGTGGGTTCTAGCAGCTGCGCCCCGCCGACAGCTTTCCAGGGTTACCCGCGGCCTTGGCGGCCGTCGGAGACCCGAGTTGCGGTCCGAAAGCAGAGCAAGCCTTCGCTGGAGCGGCCTCTGTCAGCGGCGCGCGCACGGGTTGGCGCGAGTCAGCCACGCACAGAGGGGGATGGGGGGGAAGGGGGGGGCTTAGTAGAAGCACCCCTGCTTCTTAGAAGGCGCGGACCTTATCTGTAGATGTAAGGCCGGCGCCTTCCAAGAAGCAGCCTCCTTCTAAGAAGCCCTCCCTCCTCCCTCCACCCCCTTGTGCGCACCGCCAAACGAGATGGGGAGACCTTTTGAGAAGGGGGGGGGGCACTTTGGAAGGCAAGTTGGCCTTCTTGGAAGGGCCTTGGGACGGGGGGCAATCCAGACGGCTTCTCAGAATGCCCGAGCAGGCTTCTTTCAAGCAGTGGCGAAGCGTCCTGGCTCGCCTATAGGCCCACTAGAGAATGTTCTAAGAACCTTTTTGTGATCTGCACGGAATGTTCTTAGAACATGTCTGGCTGGGACTGTCTTGTTTTGACACGTCGGGCTTATATGCTAAGAACATTGTTTTTGCTCTTAGACACGTCGGGCTTAAATGCTAAGAACATTGTTTTGCTCTTAGAACATTTCTGGGTTCTATGAACATGTCGTGGTAGGCCTATAGGAATACCGGGTCGGCCGGTCCCTGCTCAATTCTCAGGGGCCCGCCGCCTCCGTAGAAGGCCAGCCGCCCCCCTGGCGCCAAGCCCCTCGTGCGCGCCGCCTGCTTTGATGCACACCTCTCGGGGGGCGCGGGTGGGGGGGCCAAGCCCAGGCATCCAAGCCGCTGCTGTCGCACCGCATGCAACGATCGGCAAGCCTTGCGCCAAGCGTTTGTCACTGCCTGGGAGCACTCCTTTGCGTGCAGCCGACCCTTCGCCCCCCCTTGTCGGTGGCCCCAGGACCGTCTTGTGAAGTACCGTCTGACGACCTCTTCTCCCAGACCCTCGCGCTGCTGTGAAGACCGTCGGCCTCTGGTGGCCCTTGCCAGGTCTTAGAGCCGTCAAAAATTGCTCGAGATGCAACACCGGTCATTTAATAGGGGGCCAGAATGTCCAGGGTCCACGTTTCTATTATTATTGTTTGTTATGTATTGTTCGTGACTGCTTCTAGATTCATACATCTATATATATATATATATATGTGTATGAATCAATCCTAAAGCTGCATACATGAATTACTCATACTCATGGCGTCAGGGCCTGGCATTTCGTTATTACAGCCCGACGTTGCCTGCATGCATGGCCGATGCGGCGCGATCCTCCGACTTTGACTCCTCCGGACTCATTGGAGAGCCTAAGCAGATTGGGTCAGGTGATTGATCCGTCTTGAGCAAAATCGTACGGATCACCTCCTCTCAAGCAGATACATGAATGCACGAGCCCGTCAAAAAGTGAAGCGAAACACGAACCACCACATCGCAACCAAAGACAACAACGCCTGTCTGGGTGCCCCAATGTTCCTCTTGCTAGGCCATATTGGACCATCTGATGAGGTTCTGGGCCGCTCTGACCAGACATATTTTTAGAGTCCCGAAGTTCCCCCCCTTCTCTGATTGCCATGGGGCTCGGCTCGCTTGCGCAACGCACGCTGTGCCCGTCCAGGACATTCTGAAGTATCTGGATCCGACAACCCCCGGCACGGTCGCGTCGTGAACAAAAAGCCACGGCGCGAGGGTTTCTGGCAGTCTTCGGGCCCCCTGCAGGGCCCTCGCCGCCAGCCCCCCCCCCCCAGGACTGTCACAGACCGACTCGGGATGAAAAACCGGCTCTGGAGAAAGGGGTCGGGACTTCAGGAGGGCCCACACTGCTGAACAGATCAAGGCATCGGGTGCGTATGAGTTTGCCTGTTGCAGGTCGGCGCGTGCGGTGTTCCTGGTTTGCCTGGCGACCTTTTGATTCCCATAGCGGTCGAGGCCGGGTCCGGTGAATTTCTGTGGTCGCGGTCCTTCCTGCAAATCTTGGGACAGAGCGCCTTCCACCGGACCGGGCTGGGACGAGGATGCATCCGTTCTGCAGAGCGTATCGGATCGCTCTCAGAGCGTTCCGGAACGCTCTTAGAAGGCCGCGGCGCCCGATATATCCTCCAGAGCCGCTGGATCTCAGAGATTCTCGACTGATCCTGTTCCCTGGCTTCGTCTGATTCCAAGCGCCTCCCGAGGGGGCTCGGGGAGGGCGCCCCCGGAGACCCGCAGGGCATGCGGCAGAGGCTCGCTGGCTCCCCTCGGGCGCGGGCCCCCCCTGCCGCGGCGCGCCGCCGAGGGCAGGGCGGGCCCAGGAGGGGCCAGGCGTACGGCGGAGAGGGATCCCTCTGCGCCTCCCCTGATCGGGACGATCGAAGTGGGTACGGAAGCAATGGGTGCACAGTCTGGCAGGAGCTCGTGTTCTTTCTGAGCAGGGTTCGCTGTCGGCGTCGCGCGGTCGTTGCCCATTTGAGACAGGAGGCCGCCTGTCCAGGCGCTGCTGGTTTTGGGCAACATTCTTGCTGTTGGGCGTCGTGCCCATGTTTCCTCGTGCCCACTTTGGGCGTCCAAGCCTGACCTCCTCGAGCCGTAACAGAACGACGGACGCGGTCCCTTCGATCGCCTCCCTCCCAGTGCTGGGTCGGACGAAAGGGGGCGAATTGGGAAATGAAGGGCACGAGGGTATGACATGTGCTGGGCCCAGCCTCCCAGGCGCGCTTCCTTGATGCAGTGGCGCCTCTGGCGCAGGGAGGCGCCAGGAAGTAGTTTGAAGCCCCTAGGGGGGTCCTCGCTGGGCCCATGGCCCGGGGCCGCCAACAGGCGACTCAGGTTGGAAAGCCGGTCCGGGGGGGTGGTCGGAGGCGACGACAGGGGCGAATAGCCCAGGAGGGATCAAGACATGTATTCAGGTCTTCCTATGCGACTACGTGTGCTGCCCGCCCCTGGGCTGTTCGCCCCTATCGTCGCCGCCGAGTTGGTCCAGACCTCTGGAGTCCAGGTTGTGTCCAAATCCACCCAGCGAGGAGGCCGAGGGGCAGGCTGGGCGCCAGATGTCCCTCCCAGACGCAGGAAGAGAGCTCCTGGGCCGCGCGGGTGGGGTCGGAGCACAGGGGGTCGCATGATCGCGCGGCACCGCTGATGCATCTGCGATGTGGAGCCATCTGGCGCCCGGTGTTCTCCATCCTGGCGTTGCCGATGCATCGCCGATGCATCGGCGATGCGGTGCGGTCCTCCCGCCCCACCTACTCTGGCCATAACGGTTCGGGTGGTCTCCAGAGCTGCAGGTGCGTAGTGGAGCTCCTCTGGAAAGGAGAGTGCACTTCGTCCTGAGCTCGCAAGGCAGGGCCACTGGAGACTTTGGTAAGGTTATCGTCGTCGTCGTCTTCCTCCTCCTTCTCCTCCTTCTCCCCCTCCTCCCCCTCCTTCTCCTTCTCCTTTTCTTCTTGATCGCTGGTGCCCCCGCTGCGACGGTTTAGGTTGCCGCTGAGATGTGTCCATGCCAGTGCGACCGATCATCTCCGACAAGGAGACTACTCAAGAGGCTTTCGCCGTGGTCTTGGAGCTGCTTTGGGGCTTCTAGTGCTCTCTCGGTTGCTTCTTTATTGTGGCCGGGTGGGGTAATGCTTTGGGGCTGTCTTGCTGTGATGTTGGGTTATCGTGGAGTTATCTTGGGGCCGTCCTGGGGGCCAGCTGGGTACCTCAAGGGCAGTTTTAATACATTTTCTGGCATCGTGTGCTCTCTCTTGGTCCCCTAGGAGACCTCTGGGACCCCAGAGGTGCTCGGAAGCGCTACAACTGGTTTTGCGACATCTGTGTTCTTGCCAGGCCCATCTACTTTCCATCAGGGACCACTCGAAGTCTCTCTTCGAGCCTTGCGGGTTCTCGGCGGAGGCCTCTCCCGGGCCTGCCATGTGGCTCTTCTGCATGTTTTGGGAGGCGTCGGAGGGTGGAGCTGTGGAGGCTCCGACGGCCCAGTGAGGGAGCTCACGGACCCCCCCACCCTCACCCCCCTTCCTCATGGGGTTTTGGGCACCGAGGGATCAGTATCCTTTCAACGATCCCCATCCCCATCCACATCCCCATCCCCTTCGAGGCCCTCACCAAATTAGCACCCCAGTTGGGGATACACAACCTATATCCCCATCTAGGGGGGTACATCGGCCAGTGGGGCCCAGGCCACGCCGCTGGGAATGGGGATCGGTTAAAGGATACTCGAGCGAGGGAGGGGTTGGGTGGGGACAGCCAGCTAGATGTCGCACATGCTGTCTCACTCCTGGCGAGCGGGTGTCGGCGGAATGTGCGTGCGTGTGCCGACTGGCCTGTGAGACGATTGCCGTGTGTTGCCTCTCTCTCTCTCTCTCTTTCTCTTTCCCGCCTCCCTAGATGATCGCTGGAGAGCGTTGGAGACCCGTAATCTAAGGCTTCAGATGCGCCATTTCTTGTGTCAGAATGCCGTGCTTGTGCTAAGGAGGTGTTCGCGTCTGTTCCGTCCAGCAAGACACACTCCCCCTCTTCTCGGGGCACGCATCGACCCCCATTCGCCCGTTCATCGGTATGGGCCTGATAGCCCAGATTACCGGCGGCCTATCGCCGATCTATCGGCGATGTACCGCCGATTCCCTAGGTCGATGTTTCCTCCCCGCCCACCCCACCCCTCCGAGCCAGTCGAGTTCCCAGTCCCCCTTCTTAGGTTGCCCTTTATCTTCGCCCAGCGTTTCCCCGGCGAGCTCCAAGGAGTTCCGTTCGGCTTCGGAGCTCCAGCGCGCGTGGACGCGCGCCAGTCTCTTCGCTCGGAGTCTGCTGAAGATGCGGCCCATCCAGATGTTTGCTCGCGACGTCTTGAGGCCTGCCCCCCCCCCCCCCCATGCAAAAAGACGCCCCCCTCCCCCCCTAGTCTGGCCGAGCGCTCAATCCCGCTTAATCAAGCTCAATCCTGGGCTAAATTCGTCGCAATCCCGATTGGGCCTAATCGTTTTTCATTGTTCCCGCAAAGGCCTCGCAGGAGTTGTCTCCTCATGGTCTGGGGAGTGAGCTCCTCCTCCGCCCCCGCCTGAAATGCGGGCTCGGGATAGCCCTCGTGAAGGGGATCGGTGCCCATCTCATCTCTTCCTGGATCGTCTCGTTTTCCATTGTCCGCCCTTCCCTTAGTGGCCAGTGTTGCTCCGCCCCCCGCTCGTGGGTTGTTGTTACAACGTGGACCCTCGGCGGGCTAGACCGGTCCGCGGGAACCCGATTGTGCATCCCGAGCGTCGTTTGGCGGTCCCGGGGGCCCGGTGGAGATCAGTTCACGACGCGGAGGCTGCTCTCATGAGCGAGCTCCTCTTTCCCGTGTCCGCCCTTCCCCTGCTCCCAGGTTGGGATGCAACTCCTGGGATGTCAAATTCTATCTTTGCCCTGGTCCGAGATCCGGCTTCATCCGGCTTGATCCCGTTCAATCCGGATCAATTCCGATATATAACTCCGATTTAATCCCGCCTATTCTCCGCGACCTAATCAGGCGTAGCAGCCCCAGGATGGGGCTCAATCCTCCGTCGAAGAGCTCCCAGTAGTTGCTTCCTAATCCAGGGCCGTTTGTTCTTTCATCCCGATGCCCGAAACTAACTTCCAGACGCCAGCAGTTTCTCGACGAGCCAGACGTTTGGGCTGCGGATAACAAGTCGGTCCCCCGGCGGCCAGGCGGAGCAATGCAGGCACCCCCAGAACGCCCTCGGGGCGGCGCAGCTGCTGGAACGCATCCCGAGGTTGGAAGACCTAATGAGAGCAGTTCGCGAACGCGCCCGAAAGCTTCAAGACTTGAGCGACATGCCTTGTCCGAGGCGCAGGATGTCGAGTCTAGGCCTTAGTGGGCCCCGGAAACGGCAGGCCGCTTTTTCACCGTTTCCGAACAAGCGTCTCTTAAAAACGGGAACGGCAAAGAAACGGCGACCGGAAACTGCAACAAAAACGGTTCCGGGATTGGAGCCGGAGCCGGAACCGGAAAAAAAAGCGGCGACGGAACCGGCAACAAAAAACGGCACGGAGTTACCAAAGAAAATTGCAAAACGGAGCCGGTCTGAAAAATTGCCCTTTCGTTTCCAGGGCCCACTAAGGTCTAGGCCTCTCCTCCCAGAGCCCTGCTTTCTGCTTCCCCCCGCCGGCGGCGCCCAGATCTGCCAAGAGCTGCGGCCCCACGAGGAGCACCCGGCCGCACCGCCGCGGCGCTCTCGCTCCGTCGCCCCCGCGCGCCGAGGCAGCCAGAGTCCCTCTTGCAGCGCCGTGTAACGATCGAGGAGGGTCGAAGTTTTTGGGGGCGTCGAGGCTTCGGGACCTCATGGTGACCTTCCGTGGGCCTCGGGGGGGGGCTTCTCGTCGCCACGTCGGCGGGCCGGCTTCGAGCGTTCGGGTCGGAACGGTCGGGACTTCATGGTGACCCTCTGTGTGCCTCGGGGGGGCTTCTCGTCGCCACGCTGGGGGTCCGCTTCGCGAGCGTGCGGGTCGGAGCGCGCGCTGGGTATCTAGGCTGGGCGGTCCAGCGGAGCTGCCAGCTGGAGCTCTGGGCCGAAGCCGCGGAGCTCACAGCTGGCGCACAGAGGGCGAAGCCCGCAGAATGCAAAATAAGTTTGCTCCTCCACGAGCATGACCTTGTGGAGGTCGGAGGGCGTCTGTTCTGCAAGAAGTGCAGGAGATCGGCCCGAACACCCGAGGCTCCTCGACAGTTGGCGGGGGGTACCGACCGATGGTGCCGCCCGACTGCCATTCACACCCTTCAGGCCAAGGTCCTTGAGGCTGCCGCCGTCAACTGCCTGTTGGGGGCCTCGGTGGGGTCTGCGGGTGCTGGGCGGTCTGGGGTTGGGGCGTCTGGCGTGGGGGCGGGGGGGCCGTCTGTGGCCGGGGCCTCGCCTGGCCTGGGCCCTGTGGGGTCGTCTGGGGAGGGGCCTGTGCCTGCCCGTGAGGGCGAGGCTGGGGCCCCTGGCGGTGCGGCCTCGGGCTCCGGGGAGCCTGAGGCGGGGCCGCCGAGGTTCACCGCGCCTGGCAGGGACACGACGTTACCGCCACGGGTACGGTCGTCTGGTGTCGGCGGTGCGGGGCCACGGGTCCGTCAGGATAGGGAAGGCGCCCCCAAGATTTGGCCCCCAGCAGGCGGAGGACCCTTTGCCGCTTGCTAGGGGGCAAGCGGCAAGCACCCAAAGTCTGGCAGGACCCTGGAAGGGGGTCACTGGCTGGGCTTTATTTCCTCTAACTAGTTCAGGGCTGTGTCTGTGAGGAGACGCTGCCTCTTTAGCTCGTTCCTCGTTCCTCCTCCTGCTCATCCTCATCCTCCTCCTCCCCGTCCTCTACAACGTCTATTCCCAGGAAGGCAGTCGTTTAAAAATATGGGAAGTGGAGGGGAGGACGAAATTCCAGAAAATGTTGGAGCACGTGGGAGGTCCTCGGATTTGTGCCTATTTATATGCGTGTCTCTGGGCGCCTTCAGTAATGGAGAAAGGATCTTACGATGTTCGGCCTTTGTGGACCCCTCCTGGGCTTCAGGATTCTTTCAGGCCGACTCGGTACCAAGAGCCGGCCCCGAGTGAAGGGTTCGAGACCTTGGGCATATGTACGTGGTGAAAAGTAGGGAACCAGACATCCGACGACCTGATTTTTCTAGTTGGTCTAAGCCCGTGGCCCCAGAGTTCCCAACTGTCTCACCGTGGGTATCAGTGATCCGCCCTGGGTGCATGTTTTATTGCGAAGGCCTTACAGCCGGTGCCGCCGACCCTGAGGTTGGGGAGGAGGGCGCGGAGCATGGGGAGGAATATGAAGAGGGGGAAAGGAGAAAGAGGCGGATGAGGAGGAGTAGGAGCACAATGGGGGAATGAATAGGAGGAGAGCGAGGCGAGCAGGGTCGCGGGAGGGGCACGAAGGAAGGGCAGGGGCGAGTAGAGCGTGGCGATCATGAGGAGAAGAAGGAGTGAGATAATGGCAAGGATGTTGACGATGTTGACGACGACGCAGGTTGCCTATCAGGACCATCCGGGGCGTCTTGGAGCCCTCCTGGGGCAACTTCCAGGCTTCGTTCGCTATGTTATTTTGAAGCAATTTGGGCATCTGGGAGGCCACGGAGGTGAAGTTAGATTTGGAGGGCGCTGGGGCCGGGACCTGGGCCACGGCCGGGGCCGGAGCGGGCCGGAAGCTGGGGCCAGGGCCGGGGCCGGGGCCGAGGACTGATATAGGGCCGAGGCAAGGGCTGGGGCCAGGGCCGGGGCCAGGCCGGGACTGGGTCCGGGGCCGGGGCCGGCGGGGCGCGGGGGCCGGCCGGGACCAGGGCCAGGGCGGGGAGCTGTGGGGGCCTATAGTATAGAAACTATTTACATTACCCCCAGGACCCCCGCCGGGACCCCCCCCCGGGACCACGGACCACCCCTCGGGACCACCTCCCGGGCCCGGGACCACCCCTCGGGACCACCCCCCTGGACCACCCCCCGGGAGCACCCCCTGGGACCATGGACCCCACCCCACCCGCCCCGAGAAGGGATCCTTGAGGGAAGGGCTTCGCCTTCACCTCCATGTCAACGATGTTATGTGGCGTAGTGGCTAGGGTGGATTGCTGCAGGAGGGATGGCGGCGACCACGCGGACGGAAGCGTCTCACACACGCCGACAGGCTCGGCGGATTCCGCCACGCGCAAAGGGGGGTGGGGGAGGGGGAGGGCTTCTTAGAAGCATCCCTGTTTCTTGGAAGGCGTGGGCCTTGTCTATAGATGTAAGGCCAACGCCTTCTAAGAAACAGCCTCCTTCTAAGAAGCCCTCCCCCTCCCACCACCCCCTTGTGCACGCCGCCAATTTATGGCCCCAGTCTGCAAACGGCCCCCGCAGATCCGGCAGAACGCCCTCTTCTTGAAATTCTTGGACTCCGCGTGGGTTGGCGGGTGGGGAGCAGGGGGAAGTTCAGTCTTTGATGTTTTTTTGATCGTTTTGCTTCGAGCACGTTTTGTTTTCGCCGTGCGGCGGTGATGGGTGCCATCGGGCAGAGCGCCCCCTTGAAATTCTCGGAGGCGATACTCGATCGGCAGTGTTTCGACACTTTGTCGGGGGGACTTCGAATCGACGTCGTGCTCGAATCGCTCTTGCAGGGCTTTCCAACGGCCCAAGGGACGCCCAAAAGACGCCCCGGAGAGCCCCAGGAGCGCTCAAGAGCGCCCAGGAGCGCCCAAAAGCGCCCCAAGAAGACCCCAAGAGACCCCCAAAAGCGCTTCAGGAGCCACCCAGACAGCTCACAAGAGCCCCAAGATGGCCCGAGAAGGGCCAAGAAGGCTCCAAGAGACTCCCGGGAGCGCCCCAGGAGGCCCCCAAACGGCCCAAGAAAGCCGCACGACGGCCCAAGATGGCGCCGAGACGGCCCAAGAAAGCTCCCACAGAACCCCACGACGCGCCCAGACAGCCCAAGAAGACCCCAGAAGCCCATAAGAGGACCCAAGGGGCCCCCAAGAAGCCCCGAACAGGCCCCAAGACAACCCCGCGCGGCGCCAGGAGCAACGTCTTTCTCAAATTGCCTCTTACTGTCCTCTGTCGTCGTCGTCATCGTCGTCGTCATCGCCCTCCGCATTCCTCCTCGTGCTCGCACTCGTTCTCTTCGTCCTCGTCCTTGTGCTTCTCTTCCTCCTCGTTGTCCTCATGCTTCTCAATCCTCACGTTCGCCACGTCGTCCTCGTCATCGATTCCTCCTTGCCCTCGCCTTCCTTTTCTTCTTCGCCCAATACGCCCATTAGACTAAAGCGGTGCTTCCCGTTATTGTCCGATCAGGTGTTGCTCTGTTCATGTAAGCGCGTGTGCGAGCTCGTCTTCAGGTTTGCGCGATTCGTCGTGTGTATATATATATGTATAGACAAAAGCACATACACATATACATGTATCCAATGTTCTGTGTCTTTAGATATGTGCGCAATGCTTGCTCACACGAACGCGCACGGACACGCTAGAATGGTTGTGCGCGCGTGCCCATCCAGCGCAGGTAGCGAAGCGCATCGCGCGATAGAGTATTGTACGCAACGCATGGTGCGGTTGTTGGTGCATGGTAGCGTTGCATCTTGTAGCGTGTTGCGTCCGATTCGCCTTGTATCTTACACCTTCTTGTGGTTTCTCCCCGGCTTTGGCTTTCCACATGTTCGCTTGTGTTCTTTATCCATCCCCGTTTGTGTACTCATCCGCCTGCACCGAGGGAGAAGAAGAAGACGATGGAGAAGATGAGGGCGCGGAAGAAGAAGAGTCCGAAGGAGATGGAGAAGGAGAAGAAGAAGAAGAAGGAGAAGGAGAAGAAGCAGGCGAAGCAGAAGAAGACGAAGAAGAAGGCTCGGACGAGGAAGAGGAAGCGGCGACCGCAAGCGCCTGATCCTCAATTGCTTCACGGCGCTTGGCAAGGAGCACATTGCCCGCCCTCTCGTATTCTCCTTTTGCTCGAGCTTGACCCTCCTCCTCACCTCTTCTCGTCATTCGGTTAGGGGGCCCTGGCCATGATTCCCTGCGGTTCTTTGGGGGGTGGCGAGTGGTGGGGAGAGAGGGAAATATCGAGAGAGGGAGGGAGGGGACGGGAGCGGTAGTGAGCGAGAGAGCGATATACATAGAAGGAGAGAGAGAGAGAGATTGAGAGAGAGAGAGATTGAGACAGAGAGAGAGATTGCTCATATCTACATAGATCGAGGGACTCATCGTAGAAGATGGGGGGAGAGAGAGAGAGAGAGAGAGAGGGAGAGAGTGATATATTTATATGTATGTATATATATATAGAGAGAAAGAGAAGAGAGAGAGAGAGAGAGAGAAAAAAAGAAAGAGAGAGAGAGAGAGAGACGGACACACACCACACACACGCGCGCACACACACACACACTTACACACACTCACACACAAACCCACGCACACACACACACACACCTACACACGCGCACACGCACACGCCCACGCACACGCACACGCACACGCACACGCACACATACACACACACACGAATGCACGCACGCGCGCACACATACACACACACGCACATACCCGCACACACACACACATACACACTCGCACACACATACACGCACACTCACAGTCACACAAACAGAGTCACACACACACGCGCACACACACAAACTCGCGCAAAAACACCTGCATCTAGATTCCTATTCGTAATGTTTATAGGGTCGGGGACCTCGGAAAAAGCGCACAACCCCCCGCCCTAACGAATTTTGGCCCACCCCAGACCTCTCGGGCAACCCTCCAGACGACCTGGGAGAACCCCACAAGAGCCCGAAGACGGCCCCAGAGGGCTCCAGGCGTTCCGGCGCGCTCCGAAGCGACCCCAGAGAGCCCCGAGACGGTCCACGACGACCCCAAAGAAGTCGTCATACCCTCAAAGATCGCCCCGAAACATCCCAAGAGGCCTCCAACAGCACTCCCAAGCAGGCCCCAAGAGGCAACATTCATTGATTTTCTGCTGGTTTTGAGGTGAATTTTGGGGTCCTCCTCTTTTCAGCTTTCCCACGCTCCCAGGCGGCGGTTTTCTGGGCGTCCGAAACCGCCTGGGAGGCTCGGAAATTGCCCCACAACCATCCGAAAGGGCTTCCAGGCAGTCCAAGAGAGCCCCAAGACGAGCCCCAAGACGGCACAAGATGGCCCCAAGACACTCTTCCGAAGCATTCCAAATCGTGACCCGGTCTTTCAGGGAGACCACGGTTGGAGGCAGGGTGGCCCGAGGAAGCCCCCAGAGGCCCCCAGAAGACGCCCAGAAGGCCTCCAGAAGGCCTTAAGAGAGCTTGAAAACCTTTTGTGAGGCCCTCAGAGGCTCCAAGGAGGAGCCTCCGCAAACAGAGCTGAGGAGAATGGGGGTAATACGCAGGGTATGGTGAGAATGCGGAATGAGAAACATGGAGAAAGGACAATGAATCACATTATTTTAACGGCGATGCAGGAAAAGGAAACAAGGAGTTCTCGCTAAATTGTCGGCTTGATTGTACTGCCATTCTGCCTGCATGCAAACTAAAAGGACCAAGTTGCATGGCGCGACGCGCCAGTGCAGTCTTCTATATTCTATATATGTGTATGTATACATCTCTTAAGGGCTTCGCCCTCTACTGCCGGCCCCCCTATCATTAGTGCAGGCGGCTGCGCGGGGGTCTTCTTGGGGCCTCTTGGGGGTTTCCTTTGGGCCTCTTGGGGGCCCCTTGGTGGTCTTCTTGGGCCTCATGGAGGTCTCCTCGGGGCCTCTTGGAAACAATATGTTGGGTTTTTTTGGAGGTCTCCTGGCCTCTTGGGGGTCTCTTGGGGGCATTTTGGAGCTTCTGTGGACCTTCTTGGGGCCTCCTGGGGCCCTCGCGGGGCGGAAAGGTCGAGTTTTCGGTTCGTGGACTTCCTCTTGGGTCTCTCTCGGGACCGTCTTAGGGACCTTTTGGGCCGTCTGGGACGCCTCTTGGACCGTCTTGGGGCCCTCTTCGGCCGTCTTGGGGCCGTCTTGGGGGCCTCTTGGGCCGTCATGGTGGCTTCTAGGGCTGTCGTGGGGCGATCTTGGGAACCTCTTGGTCCGTCTCGCAGCGTCGAAAAGCCGAAAAGGCGAGAGGGCCAACAATTTTTATAAACGTTCGGAAACGTGGGGCCCTCGTGGGAGGCCTCTTGTAGGCCTCTTGGACCGTCTTGGGAGCATCTTGGGCCGTCTTGGAGCCATCCTGGGAAATCTTGAGGCCATCTTGGGCCGTCTTGTCCTCCTGAGGCTCTGTTCGGAGCCTCGTCGGGTAAACTTGGAGGCCTCTCGGGCCGTTCTGGCCACGCGGTGGCGTCACCGTGAGAATCCCCGGGTGGCCCGGAGCCGCCTAGATTTGAGGTTCACACCCCCCGCTTGCTGTTTGGCGACGCGGCTGGGCCCCTTATCGGACAGTAAACAAGAGGCATGAAACAGGAGTGGAGAGATAAAAGGCCAAACAACACATGACAACACCTAACCCATGACAGCAGACCGCACACACCTTCGCAGCCTTGCGCCCCCGGAGGGGGCCGCCGGATATATATATATATATATATAATATATATATTATATATATATACATATATATGTATATATATATATACACACACCCTACACGACCACCCTTCGGGTGATAAGGAGGTTCGGGGGGTGGAGGAACCACTGTCTCACTCGATCGATCCCACTACCAATCTCACGATCGATCTCACTATTGGTCTCGCTCGATCGGTCTCACTCGATCGATCGCACAATCGATCTCGCTCGATCTATTTCATTCGATCGATCTCACAATCGATCTGACTATCGATCTCACAATCGATCTCACTACCGATCCCACTATCGAGTTCACAATCGATTTCACATTCGGTCTCACTATCGATTGCACTTTCGATATCACTATTAATATCACAATCAACGTCGTCATCATCCTCAACATCATCGTCATCAACATCATCATCATCATCGGATCACCATCATCATCACATCATCACCATCAACATCATCATCACCATCATCATCGTCGTCAACATCGGGACACCATCATCGTCACCGTCATCATCATCATCAACATCATTATGTTTGGGACACCACCATCATCATCATCATCGGAACACTACCATCATCATTCCACCTTCATCATGAACAACATCATCAATATCAGCATCGTCGGGACACCATCATCATCAACAACATCATCATCAACACCATCATCAACGGGACACCATCATCATCGTCACCATCATCATGAAAGCCAGGTATTGTATGCGTTGGCGCCTTATTTCCGCCCTGCTACGTCGCAACTACATAGTCCGTACTCAGGAGTCCCATGGTCATGAAGGTGACTTGGTCTCGCTTCGCAAGGAATTTACGTCTCACAGGTTCTTCTTCAACCCTCACCCAGGTAACCTGCAGGGTCATGGCATACCCGTCTGCGTGCATGATAAGCTAGCTTGTCAGTTCAGTGGTTTTACCCAGAAGATTCTCTATCCTGGTAAGGCGTCGTACGTTCTTGGTTGGGGTGAAGCTGGTCTCTTGGGGATTGTGGTTGTGCACCTACCGAATGTCGATGCTGGGATTGGTTACTATCGTCATTGTCTCTCTTGCATCCAGTCTGCTCTTCTCCTTGCTGCTGCCGCCGCCCACGTCATGCTCGGTGACTTCAATTTTGTCTTCAGTGATGAAGGGAGGTTCAACTTAGATGACGGGACCTTCACTCGGGGGGGCGCGGCCTTTACTCGTGACTGGAATGCTGCTTTTGGTTCCTGGACGGAGCTTTACCAACCTCTCGATACTTTGCGTGCCTGTCAGGGTCCCTAGGTTGTTTCGACGGCCCGTCTGGATCGAGAATATGTGGATATATCCCCTGCTGTGCTTATGGGCCTCGTCGTGACTGGTGCCACTATTGGGATGCCCACTAACCTCAAGAACCCCTCCGACCATGTCCCTGTTATGGTTACCGTTGCCCCGAAGCCTCGGTTGGCTGACGGTCCTCCCCCGATTCCTGGTTGGGTCCCTACCTCGGAAGAGTACATTAGGTGTTTGGATGGGCTGATTGCAAACATCGGTCGGAGCCCCCCGATTCAGTTGCAGCTCGCTCGTAGCAAGGTGGCTATGCACGAGGCTCATGCTGAGTTTCGTAAGATCCTTCGGGCTCGGCTGGTGGCGACTGTCCATGAGTATTTGCATGGGTGTATCTCTGCCCTGCGAGGGTTTAGTGCGTCCTCATTCTTTCTGGTTGTGCGGCGTGCAGTGCGCGCTTATCCTTTGCTCTCCAACTTCTTTGATGTTGACGCCGGCACGTTCATTGATTCACAGGGGTTGTACGCGCACATTGCATCTCTTAACAACCAGTTGCTTGATGACGAGGAAGAGGCTCTCCTGCGCGCGAGCGATCTCCCTGAGCACGAGGTGGCACGCCGTCGCGCGCGTGTGCAGCGCAATAGGGAACGTCGGCGCAGTCTGAACAAGTCGTTCTGCCTCGGCAATATATTGGTTGGGCGCACGGGTGCACCTTGCACGTCGGTGCAGCGTGCGGGTGCTGAACTATCTCGTCATTGGGGTTCTGTCTTCGCGGCCAAGTCCCCCAACCGTTCTCTTTGGCCAACCCTCTCCCAGTACATCCATCGTGCTGACGTCCTCTGTCCGAATCAGGAATGGGTCCTCGATGCTGATGCTTTTGGGTCTCTGGTAAAGAAGTAGGGGAACTCTATGCCTGGGATTGGCGGCCTAGCGTACGGCTGCTGGAAGCACCCTGGGGCTCGGGCGATTTTGTACGATTCCTATGTGAACTGTGTCTACCATCCCGGCGACCCGCTCCCTGGTGACTTTCATGGGATGTTGATGGTCTTCTTGGCGAAGGAGGATCATCCTACGGATGCCACTGCAGTTCC